AAAGAAAAAAGGAAAATGTGGAAAAAAATTATTTTTTCGAAGGAAAATTTTTTTTTTTTTTTTTTTTTTTCCTGTAAACAATACAGAATACAAAAGGTATCTGGCTAACCATTATAATTTTTTTTTCCCTTGGAAAGCCCTGATCCTACACTAGAGATAACATTATGATCCACTTTCTTAGGATCTGAAAGAATTCCTGTAAGGAATCGAGAATTCTTCCAACTCATTTATGTTATTATTCACTAGAATGATTGAACTGAAACTTTTGCCAGCCTGAACAACAGACAGTAAAACAGTGTCACTCAGAGGCAGCATTAACACCACATTGCTAGCTACTAAATATGACATGTCTACCCACCAACACACCTTCAATGTAGAGAACATTTCATCTCATTGGGGAAGTACCAGCTACAATAGGATCGGCAGATGAAAATGAAATCAAAGCTACAACAATAGCTTTGTATAATAGGAAATTCTGTGTACTATTTCAGAGGAAGCAGCTCATATTAGAGTTTTAAACTTTCATTTCCTATTTCTGTTCTTCATAGTCCAAGGGCTGGACAGCCCAGACATTATTGAAGTTACAATCCTTAAAAAGTACCAACTGCATAAACAGTTCATGGAGAAGGGACTACAGAGGGGAAAGGTTATCTCCTCTCTTCCAGTAAAAGGCCAAAAGATGATGCTGGGTGATGATCTTCAGTTAAACTTAGTCTCTTCCATCTGCTGAGGCCTGAAGAGTCTTTTCTTTCTTCCAAAAATGAAATTATTTCAGCATCATATGTGGCAGCAAAACCTTGCATATGAGAAGATTTTTCCTAAGAGTTTCTAAAAGTTTTCTAAGCTTTCTAAGAGTTTTTAAAAGTTGGGGGTTTTTCCTAAGAATCAGGAAATAATTTGAAAAAAACAATGAGAAAGGAAGCAATGAAACATAGCTGTTCCATACTCTGGTTACTTAACATTTAAATGATATCATTTGCCTTTGCCCAAGCTCCTGTTCAAATACTTATTGTACATTTAGGCAAAGCAAGACTACATCTTGTAGTATCAGGCACCTCTGTGGTACCAAAAGAGAATATCAGATCTCTGGACCTCAAAAAAATGAGTGAATCCATACAAAACTATCCAACCCCCTACAGACCAAGGCACCTGCCACCAGAACTTTGATGTCAAAACTTGAGAACTTAGGCATTTTCTAGCATAGGCAGCTGTAAGCAGAAGCTATGTAACTTACAAGTGCACTTGCCCTAATCTCACTTGAGTTACTTCTCCTTTATATGGGTAGGAACTCAATTGGCCAACAAAGGTAGCAATTGCTCTGACACCTATAGGGCTTCACAGACCTTATATAGACTAGTAAGACTAGAGGAGTACCACAGTGAACTCAGCCTTTCTTGTTAAAGTTCCTAAGACAATGTTTGCATTTGTTCAAAGAGAAAGGGCAAGAGTGCAAATGAATGTACAAACTAGGCCCATGCACATGAAAGAAGGGGACAAGTTCTAACTTTCAACTTAGAGTACAAATCTAACCTATTGTAACTCTCAGACAAAATATTGCCTCACAGCAGGTATCACCACATCTTCAGAACTTGGAAGTTTCCTATATAACCAGCAGGAGAAGCTTAGAGATCTAGATTTATCTGTAAAAATATAGATATATAGAAAATGTGGGTCTCTCAAGAGTTATGGAGGAGTTCTCTGTATCCAGATTTGTCACAAAACCAGCTGTAAATCGATTTGTGGATTTCATCTCTTGTCGCAAACTGATGCTGTAGTTCATTACCTTCATAGAGCAGACAGAAAAAAAAAAGTAACATTGAACTTCAGAATTTTCAAAATCCAGTCATGAATCTAAACTTGAATCCTTTATAACCATTCACCAAGAGATCTTATGGGAAAAAAACATCAATATAGAAAAAGATGTAAATTAGTGAAAACAGCAGAGAAACTAAAAATACAGCATACTGAATGGCTCATCAGGATACAGCTGTTGCAAAAGAAACAACTATGTTTTGATTATAAATAGATGTAGCAAAACTTCTAAACCATTTATAAAGGCTTAATTCAAGCTTTTCTGGCTAAATTCTAGGTTCTTACTGGTTTTAGAAATCCACCAGAAATTACTTCAGGCACTAGCTTTTACAGCAATGTCAATAAAAATAAGAGCCCAGATATGAACCAGCCTTTCAGCTACATATGTTATGGTGGAGATGTATGCTACACTAAGCAAATTCATGCCTGAGGGAAGGACTAAAGACACTTTTTTGTGCTGGCACAATACTGTCTTGGCTTCCATGGGTTTTGCAGATATGTGGCTTTCCTGATTATCCTCACCTATGAGGCATTTGTCATGCCATGGCAAAAAAAAAAGCCCAACCCAACTTAAAGAAACCCTCAGAATCCCAAACTACAAACATCAGAAGTCATACAGGTCACACAAACAGTATGAGAACTGAGGTTACGGATTAGTTTGGGACAGGCATGAGATAGCCTCAATTCAGGCTGTTGAATACAGGGCAGCTGGCGATAATGCACTAGAAAGGAGAGCTTGACCTTTCTTTGAAATCTTGCTCTTGCCCAACATTTCCCAACAGCAGTCTCCTGACGTCACCAGGGTCATAGGAATTCACTCACAGCACCACAAACCGAAACTGAGAGAGCAAGAAAGTGATAGAGTGCTCACAGGTGCCTGAGCAGGGCACACTGCTGTGCTCTGGCTGTCTCTGCTGGAAAAAACATGGGTGGCTTTCTCTCCAGATGAGATACTGAGAGTATCTGTTAATAACATTATGATTTTACAGTTTATTAATTTGTATTAATATCCAAGAAGATAGCCTATGATCGATGTATAAAATCATAAAATAGAGATAAAGAATATTTTTGTCTGAAAATAATTTAGACTGACAGATTCCTTCTATGGCTGTAGGCAACAGTGAAACAGAGGAGGCTAACAGAGTTTAAAAAAAAAGAGAATTATGTGACAGCTCAGTTTAGCAGTGAAGAATCACTTTGCAGAGTAAAAGTTATGTTGTCTTAACTCCCAGTTTGGCCCAAGGATTGATGATATGTGAATTGCTTCATTCCTTTCTTCTAGTTTCAATTATTAATCTGTTTTTGCATTATGTTTGAGGAGTCACACTCAGCTTCCTGATCCCATATCAGGCAGCATGCAGCAGTCTTCACCAAAAATGCTATTCATTCAGTCAAACATAAATAATATTGGTTGCCAGTTTAAGGCAAGACACCACTGGGGCTCTGGCTCTTATTTGAAGTAATCTCCATTTAGATATTTGACTAATTTCATGTTTAAAGAAGAATCTCTTTTAACTGCTTGCATTAAAGTTTCACAGGTCCCTAAAATAACATAAAACTTCATTAAGTTTTCACAGAAAAGTAACTTTACAGAAAAGTATTTTTTATCTTCAGTATATATGCTCAGTCAGTTAGAATAGATGAAACATGACAATAGTAGATGTCGTAGAGGACATTTAACAAAAAAAATCAAAAAATCTGTATTAATATTCCCAGGCAATTGTGTTATTCAATCTGAGAATAGCTACTTTACTGTTCCTGTATTAATTATTATGTGTAATTTCACTGTGTCCTTTTTTGTTTATATTTCTCAACTTGCTAAAGGCTGAATACCGGAAGATTTGTTCATGTAGTACAATAATATCCAAAACAGAAAATAAGGCATCTGAAGCAAAAATAGCACATGCTGGTGTACATTTTCTACACCAAATGGTCTTAAACAAGATTAGGGCATCTCCAATCAAAATATGTGCATTAAAATTCTAGACGTATAGTAAAAGAGATTAAGATGGGTAGAAGCAGTTGAGAAATATAAGGCAGTAGCTGTGTTATGTCTGAAGAGGGATGGAGGTCGTCATACAGTCACTGTGACTATAGATGCTGTACCTGTATTTCCTTTCAGCTTCCTCTCCTTTTCAAAATCACCAAATGCAAAGAATGTTTCATGAGGAATATAAGGAAGGCCCAGTGGGATTTTCATTTTTACAAGATTACCATATGAAATATTTCAGATGAATAACAGGTTTTCTGTAGCTTTAATCAGAAAAGCAGTGTTAATCAATCTAACTCATTCTTTTTTTCCTTCAGGTAGTTGATTTGAACTATTAGCATGACTGGAGAAAAAATATGGTGGTATACTGTTTGGTTTAGAACACTTTATTCTATACGAAAATAAACATCATCTGCAAAAGATGATAATGCAATACTGGAATGTAAAGTAAAAATTGAAAGCATTTGCAGCATGTGATTTTAATAAATTACATTTTTTCTTAACGTGGATGGTACTGATGTCTTACAAGGTTTTTGGTAACCCACTGTTCCTGCCCTATACAGCAAGGTCTACTAATCACCGACCTGCAGAAAGTTCTGTCTCCACTGGCTCATCAGCCAGTAGTTTTGGCAGTGGATACAGCATGGATAGCGAAGGCAGCAGCAGTGCCACAGGAGAGAATAATCTGTTTCCCATCCCAAGAATGTAAGGCTTTTCCTTTAATATATTGTATCCTCCATGCACTGACTATGTATAACCCTTTCACTTGCCAGTCATCTTCTTAAGTAGTTTGCTCTTCAGACTTGAATTACGCGGTAGAATATCAGCTAAAGGAGGAGAATTTTTCAGAGCTTGTATTTTTATTCTGCTTTGTTGAACACTAAATTATTAATAACCAACCAAATCTCTTCCTCAACCTCATGAATTTATTGCTGTCACACAGGAGAGGTGTAAGTCTCAGCCTTTGATGCAAGTGTGGAGATGTGGGCTTGGGTTAGATTTTAAAAATACAACTTTCATAGGCCTGAGAATGCTTAGTTTAAGTTTTCAGATTGACCTCCTCCTAGAAATAGGTGTTACTAGTGCAACTGAAATTCAGATTCTGGATGTAAACCAACTTTCCCCAAGTTTTTAAGAGTTTGAGTAGAATTTATCAGAAATTCTAGGTTGGAAAAAGATTTTTGGGAGGGGGTCCCTGTAGGAATTATCAAGTTACTACCAGTGCAATGATCCTATAAAATGACCTAATTTTCAGCCATTTCACCTGGTTAACTACTTCATAAAGGAAAGTTTTGCCAGGACTTTTTTCCCCTCAACTTCGGCAGCATGCACCTTCATTTAGCAATTTCATTTATATTCCTTTACAGGAAAAAATAATTGCTCCTGATTAACTTAATGTTTCTGACCTGGATTTTTTATAGATTGACTGTTCTCAAAATATTAGTTGGTGGTCATTGCTCATTCAGTGTTTGCAATAGTTGTTCCATGTTTTTCTCTGGGACGCAAGTTTTTGCTTTTCCCCTGCACTCTTGAATTATTAGTCACAAGAGTTTGATATCTTCCCAAAAAAGCTTGAATGAAGAAAAAATTAATTCTCTAGAACTGTGACGTTTCTAAGTATTCATCATTTTCTAAAATAAAGCCCAGTGGTATTTGTCTACAGCTTATTAGTGGCTAGAAGGAAAATAGACACAAACCTAATATTTCAGTCTCATTTTCAGAACCTAGGAGGACAATGTGAGCTCAGGTTGTGGGGTGCCAATCGTTTAATCTTCATTGAACTTTTCACTCATGTTGTTCTAAATGAGTTGTACTTCCCAGTGGCAAAAAGACAATCTTTAATTGGATTTGACTATCTCAAAGGAAAATTATTTTGCTGTCATTCCTAATGAGAAAAGCAAAGATGCATAAAATCTTTGTGCACCAAAACACAAGATGGAGCTCTCAATAGAAGTTTTCAGTTCACATATGCTAAATTTGTGTCCAAATAGTATCACTTACTGTGCATTATCTAGCAATGTGATAGTATCTACAGTTACTCGGTATTTGGCTGACAGATTCACCAGCCTATTAAACCTGAAATTAGCTGGACTTCTGCTGAAAAGCAAGAAGAAGTCCCCATGGCTTCAGCTTTTCTCTTATAGCAATTTGTTCCCATGAATTTTACTTAATTAAATAAAATATATCTGGCCGTCTTATTTTCTGTTAAGGACTAGAGTATCTTTTTTTATTATGGCATTTTTAAAGTAAATCGTTTATATACTGTTATTAGACAGAGGCTTTATTTTTCCTGTTAGTCTCAAGGACTTTACATGGCAGTGTAATGAAAATTAATAACAATATTACTGTTTACCATCAGAAACCTTATCATCCCTAGGGAGAATGTTTTAAAATAGATAACTGTTTCCATTTTGAATTCTGAATAAAAATTCTTATGTATCTGAATATATGTATGATTGAAATTCTAGTCAACATTTGCATTCACACTGGCTTGATAATGACTTCAGGGACTCCGACCTTGCACACTAATTCAGCATATCCATAAGACCACAGCTCACAATTTGCATGTGAAGTGTTAAGTGAGCTAAATAATTTTAAGTGTCTTGGCCTATAAAAACATTTTTGGTTATAAGCTCCCTGTTTAGATTAAGTTTCTGATCTACTAATAGAAAAAGTGTTGGATAGGCCGAATTTTAAACTCTACTCTAGTCCAAATGCTTTTAACTATAGGAACATTTAGTCATGAAGCAAAACAAAAGAATTAAATAGCAACACCATGGGAATTTTTTTATGAGGTAACTAATTAGAATACTTGCCAATATTAAATATTGTTCTAACTATCACGGGAAATTAATCATTATATACAGTTATACACAGCTGAATAAATCTTGTAAAGTCTTTCTATTTGGGAGATTTTTTTTAGAAGACTCTTATTATCCAGTTGTAATACCCCTGAAGGTTACTCATGATATCAGCTATGATAATGACCAGATACTGTATGCCTTTGTGTTGTGTAACCATCCATACCAGTATAATGTCTGTAAATTACATTAATTTTGAATGCAAAAGTGAAAAGCAACTGAACAATGTGTAAGGAATTTAACCCTAGGGACAAATAATTCTTGTATCGTATTTGTAATATGTTTTATAAAGCATTACCTCACAGCAGAAGAAAAGAATAACTTTCAGTTAAAACTGAATTTAAAATCACTTTAAAAACTGACATTTTATACTAATTTTTTTAGTTCATTGTGAACTTGGACAGCTTCTGTTACTTCTGTGAAACATGAAGCTGGCTCATTGGTAGCAAAGACCAGTGCTGACCCTTTAACCCCAGAGGAATCACATGCATCTGAAGATAGTGCCTTATATTCTCTATCACAGCATTTCAGAGTCTTAAGGAAGAAAGACAAACAGAAGCTCAAACATCTCATAGTAGCAGACATGTTCTTGAGAGTGATTGTCATCATGCCTTAGAGCTTGCAACAAGTATGTTTAAAGATAGCTTACATTTTACCTGCCTTTCATTGCCTAAAAATAGACATCTAGATTGTAATCCGTGTTCTTTCTACATCCAGTGGAGAAAGATAGGGACCTCTAGAGCCTGATGTATTCCACTTACCTTACTTTCAGATCCGTGTATGTCTCTTTGTTTCTTATGCTAAACCTAAACTGTAAGGTAAAATCAATCATTAAAAGAAGATAATGATCACAAATATGCCTTACCTTTGAAGTACTGGTATTGTAGACCAAATATCAATTTTGTGATTCCTTATTATATATCTCACTGTTCACCATAGCAGGATAAAGTGAGGAGAGGAGCTATGTAGACTGATTGCAGAACCCCAGGCTGATGTGGGGCAGGTAGCAGATGGTACCTGATGGCCTCATTCTATAAGATTATACAGGCTTGGCAATGTGCGATTGCAGTTGCCTCCAAAAGAGAAAAAAATAATATCCTTACGTGATCTGTCCAAATAGCAATAGAAAAAAACTGTTGTCTACTTTATTTTCCTGAAATTAAGTATATATTTATACACACACACACACACACACAGAGCCCTTTTTGTTTTTTTGAAATACCTTCGATGTTTGTCTTTTTGTACAGAACCAAGCCTCACTGGCTTGGGTGTATAATTTTCTTACATCTCATCTCTTTATGATCTTATTGACAACTACCACCATATCTTCTGACAGAGGGAAGATGAGCCAGAATGGACAAGAACCAGTAAAGCAGTCGGGAGTAGGATTAACCGATGCAGAAGGTAAAAAGAAATACAAACAACACTACAGTGGTATCCCATATTTATAGAACCGATATGTTTATTTCTTTTACTTGTTGTGCTATGAAAGATTAGCCTATGCTCTCTTTGTATTATAGATTAAGATCCTGACTTTCATTTACACTAAGGGCCCTTTACACATAGCATCAATGTAATGAGTCGTTAGTTTAAACAAGAACAGCATCTTACCTCTTTATTTAAAGTAATTAAATAGTTAGATTGCAATGAATAATATCTGTCTTTCAATGTTCATTGCTTTTCATAGTATTGGAATAAAAAATATGAAGTATGGAGCTAACTCAATACCCATTAAATCAGAAGAAAATATCCAATGGCTGTCAGGCTGTATTTTTATAACATTTCAGAATATTTGCTTCATAAAGCAATTATTAATTTTGGTGTCTACATAAAACATTATGTTTAAATAGAAATATTAGCTGAACATCAAGCTTGACTGCTGCACTTAGACTATAGTGAATCTGTTATCTGATTGCAAAATCCTGAGTGCATTTTTTCAGTATGAATGTGGTGCTGCCAAAGAAGGAGACATTGTAATACTGGAGCTGGAAAGAGCCCGACAGAATGGCTTTCAAAGTTTCATGAGCAATGTGATTATCTGTTTCATGTGTAATAATGGACAACTGCATGAAAATTAAGAGAGTGTTTTGTATTGAAGGATATGTTAGGAAAATTCCATTTCCCTTTACATATAAGATATTTTCTTTCAAGTGTATGTTTCTGTTGACCTCAAATATAAAACTTAATTATCATGACCTTCATTTTATTATTAAAATAATACTTTTATTATTTTAATGCATTTCAATGCAGCTTTGGGTTTTAATTAATTAATACATTGAAATTCATATATACAATTGAAGTTAATTTCATGTTAAGTTCAGCCTTAAAAATCAACATTTTTCAGGTTTCTGCAATCTGTATACATGGGGAAATAATTGCTGTTGCTATATTTGAGGTAAAAGCGGTCTAATGTTCCACAGATTTGAAGAAATCAGAATTTGAAGGTAGAACTGTAAAAATGTCTTTTCCAAAGCAAGAATCCTGTATGTGCATTCTAAATCTTTCAGTACGTAGTACTCATCATACAAAAATCCAAATTCAGCTGCTTGTCGATGTTCAATGGTATTTTTAAGAATTTGAAAACCAAACTATTTTTTAAAAGATAACTGGTGGGATGAAAATGGGAAATCAGGAATTTTCCCTTTTTAAATTGTCATGATGTGTTTTATAACAGAATGATAATTGTAAACAAACCCAACCAAAAAAACACCTTTTGAAACATTCTAAAAGATGTGTATATAGCATTGGGTTACTAAAACTACCTTTCCAGACAAAGGCATGTTTCTGCTCGTCTTCAAAATCTGCAAATAACTCAAGAGCTGCAATTCCCTAATTTTCACTTATGATGCAATTCAACTCTCCTAACTTGAGAACTCTAAGATTTACAGCCCCAAGTCTGATAAAATGAGTGATTTTTACCAGGTGTTGTTTTTCCCCATTGAGAGAAGCTGGGGCAGCCAGACTAGTTTTTAGTGTCTGATTTCTAGCTAAGATGGGACAGATCAATCTCAGATGATACATTAAACTAAAAGCTGGAAAACAATTCAAGAGCATTTCAGTTTCAGCATGTAAATATAATTATCTTGTGGGGAAGTAGTTCAGAATTTAGAGGAACTCGAGACTGAGAATTACTTCAGTATTATAGAATTATTGTGGTATTCTTTTCATAGATGAACAAAACTGAATGAAAATCTTAAAGTCTTAAAGATCAAATGACATCTTTTCTGTAATGCACTTATCTGTGTTGTGGACCAGATGAGCTCTGCAATTAACTGGAAGAAAATGTTCATTCCCAGTTTTCATTAATTTGTAGAGAGGTCCCATAGTTGACATTTGTATTCTCATTTGCAAATAAGGATTTGGTGTTATACTTAAAACCTTTTAATACTAGTACTATTTTTACATTTTCAAATATTCTTAATGGATAACTTCTGTGAAAAATAGCCTGTGGATTACTCTCTTTAGAACTGTGCAGAATAAATTCAATTGCTTTAACATGCGGATCTATTGCTACTTGAAATGTTTTAGTTATCCAAGTCGTTCACACAGGCCTGGCAAATATGGCAGGGGACTTACAGGAACAAGATCTTTAAGACCAGTAGCTGGAGGCAAAGCAAGGTAGGACTCTCAAATGGCAATGAAAACTGTTTTTTAGGCAGCTGAATCAAAACTGTAGCAACAGAGTTTGGATTCAGCTCACAGGGTATGACACCAAAATTTAGGCATGTACATAAGTGGAATCACCAGGGAAAAATATGCTCCTTTTGTAATTGTTTACGCACTTGAGAAATGTGCTAATGTTTTGTTGGGAATAGTTTTTATGCTATTAAGATGTATCAGTTAAATTAGAAGTAAATATTGGAAAACAGTACTATTTACTTTGCTGACACAACCAAATGGTCAATATAAATAACTGTGAGTATTGCTATGATAATCTTTGTTTCTCTGAACATATAATCTTGTCATATTCTGTATTTTCATACTACTTAATTATATAAAATAATTCAGAGTTTTGTTCTTGGACACTGTGTTATAGTTATTTTTATGATATGCATTGTTGCATGCTATCTTACACTAGACATTCTGCCCTGAGCAGTTGAAATACTTCATGTTCTTAAACTTCAGTAAATCTTATGATACATATTGTAATCTTCATTGAGTTATGCAAACCAAGTTCTCTATTCGTTTCAGAAAGTGCAATATCTTTTGTTTAAAGACTTCTTATGACATGCTGTGGAATTACAGACATTACAAAGAAAAGAGCAATTGCATTCCATGTAAGGATTGAAACTAACAATTAAAAGCACATGATTAATATCTTGATTCAGTCGTAGGTCATGATTGGTCTATCTGCCCTATGAAACTGCTCAGCCAATAGATCCCAGATGGTATTTTCCACCTACAAACCGTTTATCCAATTAAGAAATACACGGGGAAAATTATTTTCATATATTTCAAAAGTGTGCATTTTCTAGGTAATCCCAAGGTGCCATTATTTCTAGTAGAAGAGAGATATATAGATAAGAATAGCATTTTAATTGAAATGGTTTACTATAAGGAAATTTTGGATCTTCTCATTTTGAAGATGCTATATACATGCAAAATATCATTCCTCTAGGATTACAGACATTGAGGTTCATCTCAAACAAAGACTCTTTTAGGAAAGATGAACATGTCGGTAAGCGTGGCCTGGCTTCACTCATTCAGTATGTTTTTGAGTGAATGAGTTCCCACAGTGCTTCTGTCATCCTCTGTGCCTGCCCTCATTGTTGCCAGTATTTTCAGTCAGAAAATCGTAAACTTTGTATAGGAACAGAGTGGTTCCCCACCCACATCTTCCAAGAGAGTGGGTTTTTTACTTTTTTTAAAAAAATTCCCATCCAGTCCATGTCCTGAATACCAGAAACTTCCCTACATTTTTTTCCCTACACAGTTCTGCCGTGGCTCAGGGGCTCACTTTCTGACGTTTCCAGTGGTCCTTTGAGCATCATCCTTTGAGTGCAGTAAAATGAAGTCCTGTAAGCAAGAAACTGTCTCCCTGTATAAATGGCTGAATCTGGACAGAAAATTGCATAATATCCTAGTAAAGCCTCTGTAGATCTATTTCAACACCCAGACAGAAGGAATTGATTTGTACTATTTCAAAATCTGATGTTGCACACATACTTACTGCACTTCTGCAAGATGACATACTAGTGATATGCACTCATTGTTTACATAAGCTTTAATGAACTCTTCCATGGTTTTCCTTTTTTGCATGCTATGTATTTGCCTGAGTTACAGATAAAAACAACAAACAAGCTCTGTGATAACATCATGCTTTAACAGGCAAATTTTACAATACTTTGATTTTTATTTCATCTATTCAGAGTAGTTTAAGCTAAAAAACACACTTTTTTTTTTCTTAATTTTTGAGCTTTGTGGTTCATCAGCCTGGATTATAAACTAAGAAATTCAGTTTTAACAGTTTCATCATTTAACTTTATATTTCATTAATTAGACAGTCTAATCTTTATGAGAAAAATGGTTGAAATACCACACAAACCTTAAAACAGGCTAGGAGGTCATTCTAATAACATTTTGGAGGAAAGGTGCATGACCTCTGTAAGTAAGTGACCGGCAATCATTTGACTTGTAAATTTTCCTTTATAGCTTTCTGAATAGACTTGATAAAATTTTCATCCATCATGTCTGCATGGAATAGACCCTGGAGCAAATTATCTTGCAAACTCTATCACACTTTCTCTTGAAGGGATGCACAGGAATAGTATGTGGATTACTCTCTCGGATAAAATAAGGCATAAAACAAACTGACAGCACAGGCACAACTAAGCATTGCAACATTCTTCAAACTAATTAAAACTCAGAAAAAAAAATCATTCTCCTTTTACTTGCTGTTTAGTTAGGCTAGAGTAACTCTGTTTAAGCCAAAGGACTCACTGTGGTATGACTGAGAACAGACTAAGGGCTTGAGAGGTTGCTTAAATCAACTTGCTGCGTCTCCACACTTTAAAAATTTAGTATTTTGACATTTTTTAACTCCAATGGTTGAAATATCAGCACTATAATATTAGTCCTTATGAGGATGTTCAGAGAGAAATGGTCTTAATTTCAGACCTTCAACCAGAAAGTTATAAGTAAGAGAAGAATAAAGACAGATGAAGGAAATAATTAAGGGCTAATTATGGCATAGTTAGTGAGATTTGGAAATGTTTTTGCCTATGCACAAATCTGTACTTTGATGTCTTGTTTGGCCAGGCTGAAAATAAGGGGTTTACCGCAGATCAGAAACTTTTCTTGAAATTATCTGTATCGTTTCACAAAAAAAGAGGACTATGAGATCAGCTTAAAATATGATGCTTAATATTCATGAAGGAGGTTATAATTAGAACTGAACTTCTTTC